TGCAAATTCGTCAGACTATACAAATCAGAATGATGATTTACCGGGATTTATTTAGTGCGATTTCTCGATCGAGGACAAACAACATGACGGCTTGCACGTGTATGACTGCTTTTTTTTCCTTTCCTGTTAATTAACCGTCTCTTGTCACGCGAAATATTACACCGGCACCAATTAGTCAGCGCGCATTGTTTCGCTGAATCGCGGCGTGTCTGAAAAGCCCGGCGTACATGCACCGTACGTCGGCGGGAAAGTAACAGCGCGTCGATGTCGATTGTAATTCGATTTCTGATCTGTCCCGCGCAGATTTTGCAGTTAACTTCTGATTTGTGGCCTACAACTTTCGACGGGACATGATTGGATTCCGCGCGCCGTGATATAAATCGTAAATTCTAGAAACGAATCCTCGTAGTGGCGGATTCTCGATGCGAAAACTTCCTCCGGACTCGATAACTCGTTGACGATCGTTCCGCGATAAAGAAAAATCGCTCCGCCAACGTCGCCGCGAAGCCGAGGCTTTCTCGACAAGTTTCCCCGCTTAACCCCGCGATCGAAATTTCCACAAAGCGAGCGTACGCGCGCTATCAACTCTAAGTACGCGAAAGAACGTAACCCGCTGGTGACCATCGTGACTCCTCCTCCGAGCGAAACGGCAGCGTGTCTAAAAAGTGTTCAGAAAATATCGGGTCGTTTAACGGCGCCGCATTCTTGTCGTCGAATCGACTAAACGCTAACAGTGCTCGATCAATGGCTTATTAAAAGTCCGCGGATCTCGCGATGTTACTTTTTCTTTTAATTATCGTAGTTAACAATGTGTTTGAGCAAGTGTCGTGTCATGTCGTGTCGAAGATTACATATCCCGTACATATCGTACATATCCCGTGCCGCCCGAGGCCGAATGTGAATTATGAATGTCGATTGTCCTATCACGCAAAGAGACCACTCTTTTTACCACACTTAGCCGTTGGGAAAAAAAGATGAGCGATTTACATTCGATTTATGTGCACATACAATTGCAACACGTTTCGATAATGACCCAAACTGGACTATTCTCCTTTACTGATTAATCAATAATTATCTGAATCGGTGATTGATAGAGATGTGCGAAGCAAGAATTTTTATGTCGAATCGCATCGAATCGAATCTATGAAATTTCATTCGAATTCGAATCGAATCGAATGAAAGCGAATTCAATCATTAAAAAGTTTAACGTGATTAACTTAAACACGCAAGTAATGGTGGAAGATTTTTATATGAAAAAGAATATTGATATTGTAATATCATCTTAAAGTAAAATATATATTTAAATATTTAAAGTAATTTATAATTAAGTTATTAATTATAAGTTAAATTAATTAATGCAAGTTGTAATTGCAAGTTAAAGGTTCAAATATACAGGCCCGTTTTGTAGCTAATGCACGCAAACGATAATGTATTTGATTCCTACTCGTATTATTCGGATTCGAATCATAGGGATTCGGATTCGAATCGAATCGAATTACATTAGATTAGATTAGATTCGATTCGAATTCGAATAATTCGCACATCTCTAGTGATTGAAGGTCGAAAGTGATTTGCAGAATTTCACGCGTCTCGCCAGTGCGAATGTATGCATTTTTCTGACATTATTATAGAGTCAAAAATAATGAGAACAAGAGCAAGGGCGATGGAGCCGCCATTGACGTTACTGGCGTGCATACGAATGAAATTATTAACCGTCACGAGATGCAAATTGCGGTGATAAATCGAACGCACACACGCTTCGATCACCGAACCGAATTGAAAAACTGCTGCTGAAGAGGTTCTCTCCTGTCGATGATACTTTCCTCCCGTCTGAGGCAAAGAAATTGCGCAATCTGTCGCGGAGATCGCGTTATCGACCTCCTACGGAGATTTCTGTATACACGGTCATGCTCGTTCATGTTAATAAAGCTCGGCACTCAATGCGCGCTCAAAATCCACACGCGGCCTCGTGTAGTACCCCGCCCCGATTGTTTACATAGGCAGCCGGAGAACCATCCTAGGTAGCTCCTAGTTTCGGCAGTGCTGATAGCTCGACCGAATATCCTACCCTGTTGGAGGGACCGCGAAGTGCTTATGAAGCGTGGAAGCTTCGGAATGGAGTGGTGAGAGGAGACTGGCAGTCTGGAGGATGTTGCTACGGAAAACAAAAGGGGCAGAGAGACCGACAGGCGGGGATATAAGGAAAGATAGAGCGGGGACAAAGGAATAGAGATAGGACGACGGAAAGAGAGAGGGTGGAAGGAGGAGACGGGAGAAATGGTGTATTTTCGTGCATTGTTGTTGTGTCTGAAGGAGAGAGGGATTGAGGGAAAGAGAGAGACAGATAAATGGATGGATAGATATGTGGATAGATAGATAGATCGATAGACAGAGTGAGGGAGAAAAAGAAGAAGAAGAAGAAGAAGAAGAAGACGAGAGAAAAACTGTTTCCCCTCTGGAACACGTTGGAGCCACCCCGTCGATCAAAATCGACGACGTG